TATGACAGATGATCTATCTTTTTATCTCTTTAAGATGTAAGGCACTTAAAACTTCAAACCTCTGGTGAAGTATGTTAAGGCAGAAGTTTGATGCTGGCAACAAGCAGGTAACAGAGGAGCAAGCAAAGTGTTTTTGGTGAGTGTGTGTTTCACACGAGGACCACAGTGATGACAAGCGCATCGTAAACTGAATAAAGGGAGGATAATTTTCAGGCCGAGCAAGGACTCTGCCACCGAGCAACTGTCCTGAAACCGATGGAGGAAGAAAACCCCCCTACACGTGACGTTCAGCTCCTTCGTTCTCCAACTTCTCGTCATGAACTTAAAGCCAGTACTCACTATGCAAACAGTCTATTACTGAATCATGAATTCCACTGTTTACGGTCATCCTTTGAAAGAGACAGCGTGGGAGAGCAGAAAAACTGCCTTTACAGTTAAATAAAAGCCTGAGCGTTGCAGCCCACGCTTAGATTCTGTTTGGGCAGCAAAGCTCCGGCTTGGCTTTGCATGTGACCTGCTGCCGAAGCGACCTTGAGCAAATGACGTCACTCCCTGGAGCCTCTGTAGAATCACGAGAGTATCAGCAACCTTACAGGATTTTTGACAGATTATGTGAAATTATGTAAATGTATTGCTCAGCACAGACTTCAACCGTCTTTGTTACGATGTCCTGGAATCGCACTTTTAGGTGTCTCTCCCTAGGATCACCACAAGGGCAGTGCTAGGTCATTCTCATAATCTCTGCATCCTCAAATGCCCAGTCCTGGAACTAAATAACTAATAAATCAATAATAATGTCTACCAAATGTTCCTATTTTTATGTGAAAGCCAACCAAAGAGATGACACAAAAGAAGAGGAAGGGGGAATAAATGATGAGAGGAGTGAGGAACGGCACAGAGGCAGCGCGGGGGAGCAGCAGCACTTACAAGGAGCAGCAGGAGAGTGGGCAGCAACCCTCCAACAGGGGCTTAGAGAACCGGCACATGGCACACGGGGGCGTGAACGAGAACAGGGCTGAGGTTTACTCGGTGGAAGTGGGGGCCAAACTCACACCTCGCTGCACCTCGATAATCTGCAAAGGTGAGCCACGCCGAAGACAATACTTTTAGAACACTAATAATAAAACTGATCTATCTGAGAAACTCTTGCCCATTTCTAATCTGAAAGATGCTAATCAAAATTACCCCTGCACGTATGCAGAATAACCCCTAGGGCTCCATTTCTGCAAAGTGCAGAACCATTCAGCAGCCAAGGGAGGTAGGTGGTTTACTGTATATAGCTTGGCACTGCATCTGGCTGAGTGGTCACACACAGCACAAGAGAGTTAGAGGCCTGCAGCCCTACAGTAAATTCCAGTTTCCTCCAGCAGAAGCACAAAATGTTTTACTGGACTTACGAGAGAAAACAGACTTCTGTACTCACCTTACGACAGAAGTCAGTTTGATGGAAATGAACCCAACAGAGATGGTATGAAAGGCAGAAGGAAAACCAGGAGGTCATCCAGTCATGGGTGCCAAGGGACAGAGGAGGCTCAGTGGCAGGAGGGACAGAGAGCCCCGCTGCAGGAGTGCATTCTCTGACGAGAGTAAGCAGGGAAAAGCATGGTAAGTTTGAAAAATGGACTAACTTAGGAACAGGTGCCAGGAAGAATCATAATGACCGCCAACCAGAATCTCAAGAGTGCAAATGCCGGGCAGTGCCAGGCAGTCACGTGAATTTATGTGAACAGGTACTGACCTACCTCGTTGTATGATTTTTTCCAACACTGCTCAGCAGCCCGGGTGCAAGCAAAAGGACAAAAAGGTCAGGAAGTGGAAGCCTGTGGCCAGAGAGTGATTTAAATCCTGGATTCTAAATTCTAAGTGGATAAAGAGGGAAATAAAGACAGGAAGAAACGAACAATGGGTACAGAGCAAAGGACTCAGCCACCCAGAGGTCTCAGTGAGATCAGAAGAGAGGTATAGGGTGTAACTCTGTGGGACAAGGTGGCTGGACAGGAGGGTGTGGTCAAAGAGGAGATTTCTGAGTCACTGGTCTGAGCCATGAGTAACGGTCTGGAAGTGGGGAGCTGTGGGGAGTTGGGAAGATGATCACTGGTGACAAGCCCCAAAACCCATGCAGTCAGGGAAGAGGTGGTCATCCAGCGAAGCCGGGGCAGGGTGGAGAACGATGAGGCAGTCATCAGTGACGCGTGCGAGCAATGAGGAAGTTAGCAGGTCAGAGTTCTGGGGAGGCAGAGGGGAAGGAAGGTCATACACATCACTGATGCTCAAAAGAGTAAGGGATGGGCAGGAAGGTGGAAGAGCCAAGACTGAATGCAGCCGGGCCAGCGTGGGTGCCAGCAGCCCACTTTCTGTAGTTTTCCACCTCTGTAATGATAAAACTAATAAACCCAATCAGGTAGTTCCTGCCAATCTTTAATCTGAAAGATGTAAACCAATCTTTGCCCTGCATTTATACAAAATAGATTCTTGTAGTAGACAATTTCTATAGATTACCACAGGTTTCCCAAGATACAATCTTCAGTGATTGGGAATTCATTTTAGAACATTCAAAGGGGTCACGCATTTAATCCACTTGCTTATGGGGTATAAGTAAATTAATATTTCTATTAGTTTTTTAAACACCAAGTTTTACCATACCTATACCAACTGGAAAGAAAGGTTTGCCTCAAAATTGGAAATCTTTTTCCCTGTCATTTAAACAGAAGATGCGGGAATCTGGTATATTTTTACTATCTCCTCCTCCTGTATTTTGTCACTGATTGAACCTGTGAACTCATTTATGATGCAGAATTTTATGTTACTAAAGAAGTAGCTGGTGGAGAAATTTGGCTCTTCCGCTCCTCTGAGCAGACTTGTTCAGGTACTGTCTTCTCTGGGAAAGCGTTGCTGATACCACACCTCCATCCCCCGTTTTCCCAACCGGATGCCCCCTGTTCTGCCAGAGCTCTCCACGGACAGCTCCGTCACCGCACTGACTACATGTGACTGCCAACCAGAACAAGCTCTGTGACCGGGGACAAGCACTTAACCTCTCTGAGCCCTCACTTATCCATGCGTAAAACAGAGAAAGTAACAGTAAAAACGTCACCTTTGTATCAGTTCATGAGTTAAAGTTAATGCCTAGAATGCACTCAGAACAGTGCCTGTCATGCAAGTAAGTGCTACAGAAGCACGTGCTATTGGGAGTTTGAGACTTGCAGATACTGACCACTATATACAGAATAGATAAACAACATGTTTCCACTGCACAGCGCAGGGAACTATATTCAGTATCTTATAGTAACCTACAATGAAAAAGAATACGAAAAGGAATACATGTATGTATAGGTATGACTGAAACATTACACTGTGCACCAGAAATTCACACAACGTTGTAAACTGACTACACTTCAATTAAAAAACCAAAAATGTGTTATTCTTGTAACAGTATTTATTTGCATGTCTCTCCTCTTGTACCTGTTAGCACCTTTAATATAAAAGACTAGTCTGTGTATCTCCAGTGCCTAGTACAGTGACTGGCAAGTAGGAATCATTCAGTAAATGAATGCATGAATCAATCAATAAATTAATTTTCATTTCACAAAAAATGTAAAAATGTAGGTATTAAAAAATAATAAAAACAATAAGCCAAAGCATTACCTTGTTTATAACCCTCCTTTTTAAAAATAACTTAAGGCAGTTCACAAATGACAGCCTGCCATTTCAAACATGTGAGTAAATGAAAGAAGTTAAAATTAAGGGCACAGCGGCATCCTCAGCCCCAAGTCCGTGTCAAAATGGACTTAAGGATTAACTAACATATACATATTCACTCTTAAGAATTAGTAAATTTTCACTTTTGCTACAGCAGAAAAAAAAAGCCCAGGGGCTGGGCTCTAGACCAGGATTTGTTGTAATTTCTTCCCCAGACCTAGGTGAAAAACCGTAATGACCAAGTTCCCCTCCTTAATCTGCCACGTTTCTGCAGAAGGAGAGTCTCAGTGTTGCTGGCGATACAAGGGAATCAACTGAGGCAGCCAAAGGAAAATTCCGATTATTGAGGCTAAAAGCTCACAAAGCCCAGAGGCGCTGAGTAGGAGGGTGACTTCCCCCAGACAGCCAATTTCTAGACCGCACCTTGGTTTAACATTTCCACAGAGCACCTGATCTAGGATCATGGCAAAATCCTACTCAAAATCAGCACCACTAATACTTTAATATCCTGGTGCTGAAATACCTCGAATGCCACTGTAAACGAGTCTGTCACATAAGTAGTAGGACTTTCCTCTTTCACTGGTGCATGAAAAGAAACCACCCTATTCCTTACGATGGAATTTAACGCAAGCCCGTGTTAAACAAAGTCTGGGAGTGTTTCACAGAGGAAATGTTTGTCATATGCTCGTGGACATCCATGGAGAAACCAACATAAAAAGGACGAGAGTGAAGACTTAGAGGGATCGAGGCTGTGTCTAGTTGCTGAAAGAGGCCCTCACTCCTAATCACAGACGCTCCGTGCAGTTTCCCTCGAGCCACAGAGCAGGACACTTCGGCACAATCTAAGGTTGACTGAAGGAGCTAGAATATCAGAATAGATGGAAATTCAAGCATGAGCACTGAAAGAAGGAACAAATGATTAACAGACTTGCTGTGTCCACTCATCAGTAGACTGCTGAAATTCTACCGATAACACAACAAACTCAGATACAGGCACATGAGACGAAATCTGTTTTTCCAAGTAACTTCGTAGCTAAATGGAATCACTTCAAGCAGTAGCTTCCATTCTGCTTTCCCAAACGAGCCAGCATAAATATGTACAAATATTCCCATCAGAGAAAGAGTGTTAAGAAGATAAAGCACAAAACATATATAAAGCTTAACAGTGTTTTCCCATTATTAATTATTAAGTTTTTTCATTTACTTATTTTCAATGAAAGCAATGAAAACTGAGGTCTCAATCTGACAGAGGTTGCATCTGAGGATTAAAATGTCCAAGTACATACCTCTCAACGCCTCATCTTTTAATTGCTGCATAAACGGTTGCCTAGGAAACCTCCTGACTGAATGAAGAGGCGCAAATGAGCTCGGTGCCAAGCCTGCAGGTATGACTCACAGCCCTTGCTCCCACCAAGTAGGTCCTCCTCAGCTCTTAGAGGCAGATATCTGTGCAACGTGGATGACAATTTTTTAAAAAAGGAATAATTATTGATTTTGAATCTATGTTTCTAACAGGAATGAAAGTTAAGGTTGCCCTAGTCACATCAAGTTTTGAAGAGAAATGCACATTCTCAAATGCGCCCATACAATCCATATCAGGTAATTGTGGAGGCTTTATTTTTATGGCAATATGTTGACATGATAGTGATTAAACATTACAATGAGAGACCAAAGAAAGCACTGGAACAGTAACACCACACAAAGACACTTGCCAAAGGAGAACGCAGGCAGAGGGGAGTGAGCCTGCAAACCACCAAGACCTACCCCAAGTTCAGGTTCCCTGACAGTTCTTGCAACCTCGCTATATCCATGCACAGAATGACACCATGACATCTTTAACCAGTGACAAGGAAACACAGCACAGATCACCACATGCCAACAGGTGTGCCACCTGGGGCAAGGGCACCTCTGAAGGGTCTGTTTTAACCACAGCAGATCCACTGAAGGAGGCGGAAGCAGTAGGTTCAGCCTGCAGATTTCTGAGGAAGGACAGAATTTTATGCAATGACAGCCAATTAGCGCAGAAATACTGAGAACAGCCTTGAGGCCAAGGGGATACCCTGGCTCTGAAACTGCTTCTGGTGTCTCAGGACAGAGATGGAATCCAGCCTGTGGAGGGAGAGGGCTGAAGACAGAGAAGCCCCATCACCCACTGGGAGGGTTCTCGACTTCCCGCCTTCCCTGAGCTCTTCCTCTAATGCTTTCTCATCATCTTTCCACCACTATCTTTTCTTCTGCTGCAGTAAGAACAATCATCACTTACATTTACAAAGTTAAAACCGACTCCTCTGGAGGAAAAGCAACTACCAGCCCCCACCTCCACTCCCCAGCGCTGCTCCTGTCTCAGCTGCTCCAGGTGGAGGGAGAGACAGACTGAACTCAAAGCTCTCATCGTCATTCCCCTGGATAATCGGAATGTGCCTCTAACTTCTACCCCTGCTGCTCCAGCCTCCACTACCTCAGAGGCTCCCTCCTGCCCTTAGAATAAAAATCCAAATTCTCTTCAGCTTGGGTTACAAAATCTATTCACCAGCAGAAAACTTGATAGCACTGCCCCAAATCTGGTCTGGAAGGGAACCAAGTTGCCTACTATAACACTCACAACAACGTAGTGGAAAGACATCAATGGTATTCCAGGTAAAATGCTTTTTTCTATGCAATTTTCTAATGAACTTTAAGAAGATGGAGGTTTGCCCTGGGGAACTCAACTAAAACCCACCGAGTTGACTGTCAGCTACTATTTAGAGTCCAAGGATCTTTAACCAGACGTTCTTTTCAATGATAATTTAATCATTCTATATTCCTGTAACATGTTCCTGCCAAGAGTCAATCTCACCTACCTGGGACCTCTTCTCTTGCATTACAAACTGTAATAAAATGCCCACAAGTACTCATAACTCAACCTCTGAAAGTTTCCTTTAACAAACCCCAGCCTCAAGCAGGCCCTAACACCCTGCAGGTTGCAACTTGTTTTCAGTCTCTAGACACCAGAGGCTTTGAATGAATAGGCAGTAGCCTCCCCCAGGAGCACCTCGAGAGCCCGACATACCCCCGGACTCGTTCTCTCCTTCCTGTATCGCAATCTCCATTCTCTCTCAGTTTACTTGTATCCATCCTCCCAAACCTAGGTCATCTGTCACTTCCTCCAGAGTGATCTGCCTTGAGTGTCTGGATTGCAGGCCTCCCCAGGCACTTCTGTATCAGGGATGTTACCACAATGCACTCTGTTTATTTCACTAGACTGGAAGCTCACTAAGGACGGCGCTGGACCTTTTTTATTTCTGTATACCCCCACCTCATCACAGAGCCTGGCTCAAAATGAGCACGGAAACGTTTTCTGGATGAATGAATGTTAGCCTCGGGCAAGAGAGAGATGAAGATGCATTCACTGTGTGAATCACAACATGCTATGACATGGCTCTTCATCCCGGTACAGCATCCCCAAAGTGGCTCAATATTTATCACCTTTTTGAAGGTGACTTCCCGTCCTTAGAATTTGACCTGACAGTAACTGCAGGACTCATGCCTGCCAGGTCCAAGCAGTGAACATCAGCCTGACCCTGAGCACAAAGGACAAGAGGCCCGCAGCTCACCAGGGAAAGGCTGGCTGGGGCAGCGAAAGGCAGGTGAGGTGAGGGGCCTCCTGTCTCCAATGCTCTGCATAGAATTTTCTTTACTTATTGCAGAAAAAAGAGCCAGCATATAGTCAAAGATCTTATATTTAATAGGCCTTTAACCTACCTGAGAACAAATTAATTTTTTATATTTCATTTTACAAAGATTAGCCTTTCTCATTCTTGCACATCTATACTCAGAAAAAAAGAATGAGTAATATTAAAACAAAGTAGCAGTACGCCGAACTAGCACTTGCAACTGAGACAGAAAAGGCATGCAGTCCTGTCCTCCCTTACACACACACACACACACACACACACACAGCTTCAAAGGAGACTTATTATAGACCATGTGGGAATCCCCTGCACCAATGGAAGACTCTTCTGACTGACTGAAAGTAGAACTGGGGCCAGGGAAAGGACTTCCCCTGCGGTTGATTAAAAACATTATTCTGCTTCTGAGCTGTCATGCCGAGTGACCATGAAGTTGAGCAAAAGCCCTCTTCAAGTGTACTTTTCAAACTTTCCCCTCTGGTACTGGATTCTGAGATGGACTTAAAAGACAAAATACTCCAGCACACTGAAAACAATTTCTTAAATAGGTTCACAATAAGAAGAAAGAACGAGCATGAAATTCTAATGTTCTGAATATGCTTTAACCAGTTCACCTTAACGAAACGTTTGCACCTGTGGGTGACATTAAGTGTCTGCAGATGTGGATGTGCCAAATTGGTCATTTTCAGCATCACAAAGTTATCACAAGGTTTTTTTTTGAAACACTAAGTTCCCTAAGAACACATATAATGATGATTTAATGAACAAAACACTATAATGTTTATATATATATATAAAATTTCAAGAACATTCCTATTATACACTAAAATAATAAAATAATCTTCATTCTTCTTTAGAAACGGACTTAAGTGAAAATGTAAAGTCATGTGAATGCAAAAGACTAATCAGGCAAAAAAATCAAATTCATTGAGAATTTCACCCCACAAGCAACACAACAAACAATCTGTAATCTGAATTCCTAAAGTTAGAATGGAGCAGCCCATGTAGCACAAGGATATAGCACACAGGATATGAAGATTTTTAAATAAAACCAATAAGCCAAACACGTGAGGACAGGAAGACAGACTGCTATTGACCGCTTCAAATCCTTCTTAGGCCTAGGCAACTTCTATTGATTTTTAAGGCTTTAAACACAAGATCTATACATTCAGAGTACAAAAAAATAATAATAATAATAGGCGTGCTTTAAATATAACAGGGTCCAGACAGATAAGACAACTAAAAGCATCTCTTAAATGGAGACTACACTGTGCTTACTGTCTTGCTTCCAAAGAGCTGAGTATGGAAGGGAGGGAAACACATCTCCAGTGGAGGAAGCTGGCAAGCCCCACCCTGGCCAGGTGACCAAGGGCAGCACCATGAGGGGTCAGTCAGGGTCAGGGCATGTGCCCCGCACACCATGTAATAAGCATGTCACTTCACCTCAGTGGTTCTTCCTCTGGAAAACCCAGAGCCCCGGGAGAACAATCGGAAAACTATGAGAGAAATCCAAATGTTTCACAAAACGTCTGATCAGTATTCCTCAAAACGGGTGTCATCAAAAACAAGGGGAAGCTAAGAAACTGTCACAGGCCAGAGGAAATGAGGGAGACAGGACAACAAAACGGAATGTGATATGCTGGGTGGAAGAAAAAGGGTATTAGGGGAAAACTAGTGAATGTGAATAAAGTGTGGATTTTAGTTAATAGTAATGAATCCACGTGTGCTCCTTAACTGTGACAAATGTAACATGATAATGTAACAGTTAGCAATTGGAGTAACCAGGTGAGGGACCTACAGGACCTCTCTGTACTATCTTTGCACCTTTCGTAAAAGTATTCTAGATGAAGACTTCATTTAAACTCTTCAGAATACAGTCCACGGCACCAACGTGGGGTCCTGCAGGGGGGCGCTGCAGCACTGGCCACAGGGGCCGACAGGCACAAACACGGGCCAGGACACTGACCATTCCGGATGCTGACCCATAGACTCTTTGGCCAATCTGGGACCCTGTCAGAGATGCCAAGGACCACAGATGGTGTGCATGTGAAGCAGGAACAGACTTCTCTGAGTGCCTAACACCCCCACTGGAAGTGAAAAACAGGCCACTTTATGCAAGAAAAAAGACAAAGACTAAATGGGTTGGCCTGGAGCCATCAGCGCTCTGTGAAAACACACGACAAACCAGCCTTCAACCTTCACTTCGCAAACAGCACTGCCAGCATCCAAGCAGGTGTGAAAGAGAGTTCTGCAGACTTCCCCACCATGCCCTGCAGGCTCAGTGCCCTATTTCCTTACCATAAAGGAGGTAAATCAGAGAACAAATAAAGGCACAGAAGTCTTTTAAGGATTTGTGGGAGAAAGGCCATTGAAAGACTTCTTTGACCCAAGATTATATAAATATTATCTATTTTCAAGACTCTGTCCGGTCAGGGCACACATGTGCTATGTTCTGCAGGGAGGAGGATGCAAAGGCTCTGACCTGCTGCTCCGTGTAGAAAGACATTTGTCTACAGAACAAACATGTGGCATGATTCTGTCTGCTGCAGTGGATTTCTTTAATTGCCTTGAATTTTAATCAAAAAAGAAATCTGGGGATTTATCCTCTCCAACCAAAAAGTTCCAGAATTCATAAGTTAGATGAATATGCAGTACTCATTAGGCCAGAAAATTAAAATATAAATGCCTTTAGATTTTTTTTAGAAAACTAACACGCTGTCAATCAAAATCGTTAACAGTTGCAGACGGAAAGTGACCTATTATTTAAAGTTTATCTAAAAGAAAAATGATGCAGGAATAGCCTGGGGGGGATGTGAAAAATACTAATAGTAATGATGACAGATCACTGTTCTACCAGGTCGAGTAATTAAAATGGTGTTGTGTGGATCTGGAGTTGACAGACAGACCAATGGAAAGAACACATCTGAAAATAAAACAAATATTAAAAATTGGGTCACTTATTCAAACATTTATTGAGGGACTGCTAGGCATGGGCACCTCCGATAGTTCCCTGAAGTGAAACGGAAATGGCAAAGTCAGACCAAAAGGACAAAGTGTGTGACTACTGGCCAGCCATGTGGGGAGACAGTCAGACGTTCTTCTCATATCTTACACCTGAACCCATTCTGGATAAATACTTAATTATGTAACGTATCTTAGCTTTACTAGAATAGAACATAAGTGAATATTTATACATAATTTTGTCATGAGAAAGATGTGAGTTCAAGAATAGTCACTGTGAACTGTGTTAATCTAAATGTCAACGGGGCGTGGTTAAGTACCCTGCTGTCTAGCCAAGTAATGGATGGTTACGTAGTCCTTAAAACTGGTTGAAGAAATGTATTTATTAACATGCAAAATGTCAGTTATTTAGTAAAAAGGTAAGGTATAAAAAACTTTATGTTTGCAGAAAAGATACCTAAACATAGATACTGAAGAAGACATCAGGGGGAGGGTACAGCTCAAGTGGTAGAGCACATGTCTAGTACGCATGATGTCCCAGGTTCAATCCCCAGCACCTCCATTTAAAAAAAAATTAAATAAAGAAACCAAATTACCTCCCCCCCCAAAAAAAGACATCGACAGGAAACATCTGTTCTGCAAAGAAGTAAATCTTCCTCAAATCAAGCTATAAAGTCATTGTATGAACTCAATCTACAGGATATAATTCTAAAATGCATATATTAGAGCAAAAGCCAAAGGAAGGGCCAATTTTTAAAAAAGACCAAGGAGATGGGAGGACTTACCTTACCAGACAAGAAGACACAATAAAGAAATAAAGACATAATAAAATGTAGAAATGAAGTAGGAAAAAAATATAAAATCAAAACTGACCTATGTAGATGGAAACTTGTGACAGAAAGAGACTGCACATCAGGGGAGAAAAGATGCACTGGTGACTAACACTGCTAGGGAAACTGGCTGCCCGTGGGGAAGTGAAATGAGGGTCTGCACCTCACAACATACATACAACTCCGTTTTAGATGGACTGCAGGTGAAACTGTGAAAAGCAAAATTTTTATAAAACTTTTAGTAGAAAACAGAGGAGAATGTTTTTATATGACCTCAGAAAGAATTTTCCCAAGACACAAATAATGCCAAAAGGAAAGGGGTGATTAAACTTGACTGCATCAAAAGGAAACTCTTATTCAACAGAAGACTTTATTTAAAACATGAACAATCAAGTCCAAAACCAGGAGAAGATAACTGTACACATACAGATAATAAAGAATGGGTGAGAAAAATATGCAAAGATTGTTTAAATTAGTAAGAAAAGGAAACCAATAGCAAAAATGGGCACATGACTGGGATACACACTTCACAGAAGAAACCCAAGAAGCTAATAAACACATAAATTCTCACACTCACTAGTAACCAACAGAATCCTAATTAAATCCACAATGAGATACCATTTCCCACCCATCAAACTGACAAAATTAAAGTCTGACAATGCCGCGTGTTTATGAGAACATGGAGCAAGGTACACCCGCTTGAGAGCGCAATTTCATCACAACTGTTCAGTATGAAGCAGTGCGTATGCTAAGACCCAGGACTTTTCTGGTTAGATACCCAAGATGAACTAAGTACGTGCACTAAGGAGATGTAAGAAAATGCTCACAGCTACATTTTTCAAAAGTGAAAAACTACAAAACTCAAATGTCAATAGTAAAATGTATTTTTAAAACATGACATATTTATAAAATTCTAAAAACAATTTAAACGGGTGACTAAGGCTATAGATATTAGTGTGAATAAATCTCGAAAACATAGCACTGGACCAAAAACGCAAGCTCTGATGAGGCTCAGTATGTACTGAGCGATGCGGAGATGGGCTATTCAGGTCTCTCCAGAGCTTACTGGGGTTTACTCCCCTAGCTCTGGGGAGTGCTGCAGGCTGACGGCCCTCAGCTGAAAAGAGTCACCTGGCCAAAGTCAGGTCCCCTCACTAGGGGCAGCCTGCATCCAACAACTGGTTAGTGTGAGACCACAAACGCCTGGCCCCTCCTCACCCCAACCCAGGACAATTCAGAAGGGCTGGGCTATCCCGCCTCCCACGTTTCCTCTGGGATCAGCTGAGGCCTTTCTCGTGACTACACTACAGCCCACTTTCTCTCTGCCCAGTCCGGCTTCCTTCTTCTCCCCGGGTGTTAATCCTAAAATCTCCTTAATAAACTTCTGCATGTTAATCTCCTTCTCAGAGTTGGCTTTCCCTGGAACTCTGTTTCAACAGACATAATTCATATCTTGTTTGAAAACATGTACGACACAAATTCAAGAAGACTGAAATCATACCAAGTATCTTTTCTGACGACAGTGGAACAAAACTCTAGTCAACAGCAGAAGGAAACCTGGAAAATTCACAAGTGTGTGGAAATGAAACAACAGTCTTGCGCATCCAATGGTCACAGAAGAAATTGAAAAGGAAATTAGAAAATATTTTGAGACAAGTAAAAACAAAAACACAACATACCAAAACTTACGGGATGCAACAAAATATATATTATAATGGTAAACACTCACATTAAAAAAGAAGAAAGATCCCATATACACAAGCTAGCATTAAATCTCAAGGAACTAGAAAAAGAAGAACAAATTAAGCCCAACGGTGGCAGAAGGGAGGAAATAATAAAAATTAGAGCAGAAATAAACAAAATAGAGAACAGAAAAACAATAGGAAACAACAAAACTAAGACCTGTTTTTAAAAAAAAAACAGCAAAATTGACATTTAGCTAGACTAAGAAAAAAGACTCAAAATCAGAAATGAAAGAGGAGACACAACAACTGATGTCACAGAAACAAAAAGGATTATAGGAGACTTGTATGAATAATTCCGTATCAACAAACTGGACAACCTAGAAGAAACAAAAATATTCCTAGAAACATGCAACCCACCAAGACCAAATCCAAAGAAACAGAAAATCTGAACAGAGTGGTAAGGAGGTTGACTTCCCAACAAAGAAAAGCACAGGACCAACGGGTGGATTATACTGGACAGCTAAAGTATTAAAGCTAACTCTTCTCAAACTGGTACTGGCATACAGACAGACATGTAGACCAATGGAACAGAAGAGAAAGCCCAGCAAGTCCACACATATGTGGTCAACTGAGCTTCAATAAGGGTGCTAAAAATACGCAAGAAGGAAAGGACAATCTCTTTAACAAATGTTGTTGGGAAGACTGGGTATTTACATGCAAAAGACCTTGGACCTTATCTTACGTCACGTACAAAAGTTGACTCAAGACGGATTAAACACTTAAATGTTAAGACCCAAACTAAAACTCCTAGAAGAAAACAAAGGGGAAAAGCTTCCTGACAATGGTCTTTCAACAAAAGCAAAAATGGACAGGTATCTGTACGTTATACTAAAAAGCTAAGGCACAGCAAAGACAACCATCTAACAGAGTGAAAAGGAAATCTACAGAATGAGAGAAAGTATTTACAAACTACATATGTGATAAAGTGTTAATAACCATTATATGTAAGGACCCCTACAACTCTATACAATAAATAAATAAATAAATAGAGACTCAAATAGATAAATAAGTAAAATGATTAAAAATGGGCAAAGGACTTGAATAGGCTTCTCCCCAAAGAAGACATACACATGGCCAACAGGTACATGAAAAGATGCTCAACATCACTAATCATCAGAATGCAAATGCACAACGAAATGTCACCTCACACCTGTTAGAATGGCAATAAAATTAAACACACACACACACACACACACACACACACAAAACAAGTGTTGGCAAGGATGTGAATAAACTGGAACCCTTGTGTACTACTGGTGAGGATGTAAACTGGGGCAGCTACTATGGAAAACAGTATGGAGGTTCCTTAAAATATTAAAAATGGAACTACCACACGATCCAGCAACTCCACATCTGGATATTTACCCCAAACAACTGAAATTAGGATCTCACATAGATGTTTGGACTCACATTTACTGCAGCTAAGAAGTGGAAACAACCTAAATGTCCACTGATGGATGGATGGATAAAGAAAACGTGTGTATATATATATACATATATATATATTTACAATGGAACACTAATCGACCTTCAAAAAGAGGGAAATCCTGTCATATGGGACAATGCAGATGAATCTTCAGGACATTATGCTAAGTGAAATAAGCCAGTCACAGAAAGACAAATACTATGTGACTTTCATTTACATGAGGTATCTAAAACACACAAACTCATAGAAGCTTGAAGTAGGATGACGGTTGTCGGGAGAAATGAGGACTCACTGTTCAGGTGCATAAAGTTTCCGTTGTGCAAGATGAAAAAGTTCTAAAGATGTACTGTACAACAATGTGCTTCCAGTTAACAGTAACGTACGTATACTTAGAAATTTGTTAAGAGGGTAAAAAAATGTACCACAATTTTATGTTTAGGAATACATCGATATTTAGTAAAAGTGTTAAAAAACATTCATGAGAATGATAGATACCAAATTCAAGTATTTGAGCCAGGGCAGTATGACGGTGAACGTGGACAGTGTCAGCAGGAACAAACCCCAGAGAAAACTTCTCAAAGTAGGATTCAGAGCTAAAAGGAGACGCCTATGGATTGTTCTTTCTAAATTCAGAACATTTTCTAATCCAAAAAGTGTTAAAGTATAAATACAATGATGTAAAACAAAACATGCTCATGATTTTTGTATTTATAATAAAAATACAAGCATAATAAAGGAACTACCTGGATAATTTAAATCAAAGAACACATGAAATAATTCACACAGCCAAGCTGAAACTATTTCCCTAAATTTATCAGACTAATTCCACCAGTGCCAGCATCACTCTATTTGTTTAGCTCTTTTCTTGTCAAATTTTTAAATTTCATTGTATATTAAAATTGGTTCTACATCCCTGGGATTGGTTCACAGAATGGTCTTCCTTGTTCCCTCCCAACTTTCTGAGATATGTATGACAGCAAAACATTTTCAAAGAATTCAGAAACTCAAACAGAGGAAATAAAAGTGCATGGATGAAGGCAGGATGGGAAAATTCAAATTTCCCTGATTTACTAACTTGGGGCAAAGACATTTTGTACATACCCAAGGCACTGAGAACAAACAATCCAATTTCTCTTTAACCAGTATCATTTATTCAGGGCCACTACTAAGAAACTAAACTTTGGGTTCTATGTCTGATATAAAAGATTTATAGACACAGTTGTAAAGAAAGGCAAACAAATAAATAGAAGTCTCAGATACAGACCCCCCCCACCCCCCAAAAAAAGGTTGTTGACTGGGAATAGAAATCTATAATGATCTATGTTGGCAAAAGCTCCCATATTTTAAAGGAATCTCATTCACAATCCTTTTCTTTGCATCATTATATGTTTCGAGTAACTCTTTCCCTTAACACTGTCAAAAAAAAAATCTTTTTCTTTCACATTTTCCCAGCAATCCACTTGTCCCTAACTTTTCAGCCACATCTTCGAATTCAGACCTCAGCTCAGGTTAGCAACAACATAGGCACGCCCTCTTGTGGCACAAAAGGAAACTGCCTGTTCACTGGCACTCACACCCAAGAAGTTATTTCAGCGCTGGAGCACATACTTCGTGGTCTGCATTTTACAGACAAGGAAACAGCCTAATTGAGGTTAAACAACTTACTTCCTCAAGGTACCTCAACAAACAATACATTTAAAGCATGATCTGATCACGTATTATTAAAAGGTAGGTTGGAAGCATTAGGTAAAACCTAACTTTAACTTCTATTTTGATGTAATTTGAAAGCAACTGTTTATACAGTATTTTTGGTTTAATATAATATATTTATGATTATATAAAAAGGCAGGAAAGTGAATAATGGGCAAAATCTTTCAGAAGACAGAGGAGTTATTTTCCAAATAATTTTTCAATATTCTCAAAAAGTAGAAAAATAGGGTATTATTTTGTGTATCATGGATCAACTTGTTACCAGTGTACTTCTTTCAAAAGGACAAGGCAGAAATCATTTTAACTTCCAAAATAATACACTGTCATCCTCATTTACCTGCTGATGTCAACAGATGTGAATAAGAATCTATGCTTTGTGTTAAGGGCATATCAAAAAAAATTTAAACCTGATGAGTTCCAAATACCTTTATTATTAATCTTTATCATGAAGTAATATGATTAAAAGTATCTCATTTACAGGATTATTTTAAAAGTTAAATGAGCTAATACGTATGAAGAATTGAACAGTCTATTCTAAAATTTATCTTTTCAATCTTTGTTCCAAAGAAGTTACAGTGTACTTTATAAATAATAAAAATATGGAGACAAGAGGTCAAGTAGAAAAAAGTAATCAAAAGGAATTACTAAATTCTTAGATGTGATAGGTTTTCATGTGCAAGAATTATCCCGCTATAATTGCCCTGAAGTTTATAACGGTGATTTTACCTGTAAATGAGAAGATGCTGCACACACACAGACCACCAAGGCCACGTCTGTTTTCACTTTCCTTCCTAACGCTTCGTGTGTGTTCTCCTGGATGGATGATGGGTCAAAGAGTGTCACCTTTAAAGTTCAACCAAGTGTTTGCAAATAGCTGCGCTCCTCTGATAAAACCTCTGGAGTGACTTTTTGGTTTCCCAAATCAACAAGCAAAACACAATAAAACCCCCTGGGTGCCTTGCATTCCCACCTCAGGGAATGGTATCACACTTGTTGAGATGGCCAAGACCAAAGTTGGGCTAATCCCTGACGCCTTTTTCACCCACATTCTTCAAATTCTGCCGGTCACAATTTCACATCACTCCTACACACTGCATCTCCTGACCCTACTCTTTCTTCTTTAAACCCAATGTCACAGTTTTGAGGTCCTCACCAACTTCCTCCCAACCTGGCTAACAGCCAAGTCTTATTCATCCTTCAAACCTCAGCTTTCTCCATTCTCCCTCCAAAGCTTCCCCAACCCCTCTCTGAAAGCCCTTCATCC